ACATCTTAAAAGTAAACAAGTGCAACAGCACACATGGATTTTACGTGGCACACAGTCTCCAAGCCTGTGCTTAAATAGGTGCATAATGAATACTTATTTAGATGTCATAAAAAATAAACCCACAAATTCAGTCACATAGGCTGATAGGAACAACACCCTTCTTATGCACATTATACAAATAAACAACAAGTTTAAAACACCAGTTGCAAAGATTAAGGATTCTTTTAATTCTTTCTCTGATCTTTCTCAAAACTCCCCAGAACAATGCTTGGGAAAGTTTATCTGACTTTCTCTGTGCCCAGGCTGTCAGCATCCACAGCCCTGCACATGCGAAAGGCCCAGGGTGCTCCTTTTGGTGAGTTCCTGAGTTCAGCCCCCGCTCCCTTGCTGTGCAAACCCCCCTGACACGGTGTGTGCTGCTCATTCTCACTTATTCCATCTCTCACTTCCTGTGGGAGTCCAGGGCTTCCCTCTGGCTGCCCTGGCAGGTCTGGGAGCCTGGCAGGGGTCAGGAACCCCCCTGGACAGAGCCCCCAGAGACACTGTCTGTGATCTCTGGCCATGGAAAAGAGTTTTCAATCTTACAGGATCAATTACCAGCTCTGAGTGTTTGGTATGAGTAATCATTAGGTGTGGCACAGGTGCAAAAGTAAAATTTAGGATTCTAGATGAGGGGTCCAAAGGGGACAAGATGGAGGAAATTGGGTGTTCCTTGTCCTTTTTCTCCTTCTTCATGCCCTCCATGTCTCACTGTGGTGTTGGCATTTTTCTGTTGGTTCAGGCTGGGGACACACTGTCCAACGTAGGTGACAGATATTGGCACGTTCTTGTAAATCCAGCCCAGGGAGTTTCTGGTATTGAATGTTTGTNGGTTCAGGCTGGGGACACACTGTCCAACGTAGGTGACAGATATTGGCACGTTCTTGTAAATCCAGCCCAGGGAGTTTCTGGTATTGAATGTTTGTCACATCCCACTGAGGGCAGAGCCCCACACACTGCCCTGCAGGACAGAGCTGGGCAGGGCAGCAGAACATGTGAGAGATAAACAGAATAAACAACCTGGAAACCAGCACAGACCAATTATGGCTTCTTCTTTGGCAGTGGGGCTGAGAGACAGAGACTTTCTACAATCTGGGGATCATCAATAGCTCAGATTCCGACACCTTCCAAAGCACGGTGGGATCTGCTGTCTATGGGTGAGGACAGGCTGCAGCCCAGGATGGAGCCGTGCCTGGCTGCTGTGTGCACAGCTGGCAGGGCAAGGGGCAGCACTCGGCCCTGAGCACCCTTGGAGGTGCTGTGGGGAAGGGACTGCTGAGTGACACCTGAGCAAGGCAGGACAGAGCCTGGGGGATGCTGTCCTTCCAGGCACAGCTGAGGTTTGGGCATGAGGGGCTCCAAGTGCTGGGAAGGGCAGTTTAGTAAAGCTGGGGATTTATCTGGTAGAGGCTCTTCTAGAGGGGTATGGAGATTCCACTGTCCCTTCTGATTCCTGAACCCTTGTCATAAATGCATTAAATGTGACAGATCTTGCATTACTGTTGTGATCTCACAAAGCAGCCATTGCTCAACTGCCTTATGGGATTTTATTCTGGGTCTTACATAAACTTTTTGAAAAACAGCCAAGTGCCTGATTTGCTAAGGTGCAACATACCTTATGTTGCTTCCTATTTCCTGATTACTGTATTAACCCTAATATATGAACATTTAAATTATTCTGAGATGTCTCTTACTGCATTTGTCCATGAACATGCTTTTCCAGATGCAGTAATCAAATAATCTGTGAAGTGTTTCAGTCTGCCATGTCAAGAAGACTGAAAAAACCAAAATGTTGGTGGTGATGGAGAGTTTCAGAGTTAGCTGGATGCATTGTGTTTGCAGCACAGGTAAAGAACAAGTTGAATTTCTCATGTATGTTCTCCGATTCAGCAGAATGGGGGTGGACAGGGTTGAAATCTTTATTTTCTTTTATTATTTATTACTTTGCTTGAACTGCAATAAGGGTGAGATACAGAACTGACTGTTTTAGCAATGGCAGCGTGCAGCCCCCAGCTGCTGGTTTGTGAGTGGATCAGGAAGAAGGGTGAAAGTAGATCAGGAGGAAGGGCGATGCTCACACCAGAACCTGTGTGCCACCAGGAGCTGCGACAGGGCACTGCCTTGCCTGCAGAGTCCAATCCTCTGGGGATGCAGGGGGAAGGGAGGCTCTCATATTGCTGTTTGCCATGCTGCAGCTGTGGATGGAAGGAAAACTTGAGCCTTCAGGATTGGCAATAACACCACTTTTATTAAGTTTCTGTTGAAGGACTGTTTTGAGTATGATAAATTGATGGACTGAGCACAATCACCTGCAGTATCTCACTTGGAAATACTTAATAAGCAAGCACTACTGAACAAGAGAAGGCAGCTAAGACATAGAAAAAAGGTTACTTGGCAACATCATAGTGTTTGTAAAGAAGAGAAAGGAGGGTCAGGGACTTAATGAATTTTGATTATAGAATTTTCTGTAAGTCATGGCACGAATGGAAAAATCCTAAAGCAGGTTTCAGTGTCCTACTCTAATGCAGAACAGGGTTTTTTTTGGCTGCAAGCTGCAGAGAATAGCAAATGTATAGCTGCTGTGTACAAACAAAATTGGGCTCCCCAGGGCAGGCAGTGCTGGTTTAGCTCAAGCAGAGGTATTCTGAACAAGTTCTGTGGTGATGATGAAAGCTGGTGTTCATTTTTTGTTCTGTCTGGAGTAAACGGGCTGGGAAGTAGGGAAATGTTGATTTGGGGGCCCCCATATTTTGGAAGGAAGGCACCATGTAGAAAAGCACTGTAACCTCTAATTGCAGTTCTGCCCAGCTTGCCAGTGTAAATTGAATGGGTAAATTAATTTTTCTCTGGAATAATAACCTTGTTAATTTTAGACCCTTGCTGAGGAAAAAAAAAAAATATCCATTGATTGTTGGATTTTTCTCATGGGTTTCTGCAGTGGTAACAGTTTCATGGCTCAGGTAATTGTACCTGGTACAAAACCAGACCCCAGAAAGAGTTATCCACCAAATTCTCTACTTTCCAGTCCAGCTGGCAGTAGAATATGTTTTTAAAGTCAGCATCATCTTGGAGAGCCTGAATTTTGCAAATTAATTAAGTGGCTTGTGTCAACAAGGTACATTTTTAGTAAATACAGCTTGATTGGAAAGACCTAATTATGGTACCTAGGAAAAGGCACTCTAACAAATATCTCTCCCCTACTGCTTCCCCCACTAATGTTTTAGCTCTGAATAGTCTAACAAATAGAATAAATAATTAATATAATATATTATTAAAATGTACTATATATATTATAATATAAATATAAAATAATATAATTTTTAAATTCTAACAAAATTAAATTGTAACTCACTGAAGTCTTGGTAGCAAGTGCATTCACAGGGACGGTTTTCCACTGGAGACCAGGACATACCCATATGGAGTCTGATTTCTGGAGCCACTCTAAAACTCCCCAGAGCATGGAGCTGATTGGCACCTTGGAGGATGCTTCTGGTCTTTCTCACCTATGCAGGGAGCTGAAGTTGAAGGCACTGGTAGAAGTTTTCACACAGTTCAGTGTACAGTAAAAACTAAATGCTAATGTAGTTTACAGTGCACTAAACAAAAGCAATACTTCAAAAGTCAGTATTTTCTTAAGGTTTGTGCTTTATTTTCTATTACTGACTGTACATCTTATCATAGCTCTGGGGATTTAGGACAAACAAATTCACAGTGATGTCTACTGGTGTTTCTTCTCAGTGTGGAGAGCAAAATAAAAACTGTTTAATTTTATCCTTGCTTTCAGTTTTGATTTGAATGCCTATTGTGCCGCTTTTTCCAAATAAGTTTTAGAACAGAATTATTTTTGGGTGCTTTAAAGTAGCTGGAGCTTGGTTTCACTAGCCTGATAATTTGAGATGTAAGTGGACTATTATTCTGACAAAACTCCTAAATATCCCAAAATTTCTAGCTGAAGCTAAGCTCTAAGCTTGATCAAAGTGGCACATCAGTGGAATGAGCTGAAGTTCTGTGGAATTGGGATGGGATTTTCTGTGGCACTAACCCAGATGCTGTGCTATTCAAGTGTTGAGCAAATCAAATTATGGTAACTCTTCAGAGAAATAATTGTTATTCCAAAGTAGGCAATGGGTTGTGTTTTGTATTTAAGTTATTCTGATACAAATTAGAGCTTCTAAGCAGTAAGTATGCATAAAACATTTCGATTACCTGGTTTTTTTAATCTATTGTGCTTAAAAAAAGTCACCAAAACCAAATGACCAGACTTCCATGATGGGACACATGTAATTGATAAGATCAAATTAGCAAATATAGCTTGCAGATAACCAGTTGAACTAAATTTTTAGCATTGTTGGCTATAGAAAACAAACGTTTATATGTGATTGCTTAGTGTGGTAGCACATGAGTTCTGACTTTTATAAATTCTGGGAAGACGAGCTCAGGATTTTGTTGAAGTTTAGGAAGCTGTTGCTAGACTTGGTTCTGCTGTTTCCACCCTCCATCAAAGCACTCCTGAACGTACCTTATTGTGTGTAAACACTCTGCCCTGGGATCTGTAGGAGAACCTATGCCCTTGGACAAAATCAGCTGCTAAGCTCAGGTGAGAGCCTGTTCCTGGCCCACCTTGAGACCTGTTATTCCATGGCCCCTGTACCTCTGTATAAGGCACAGGATGTAAAACACCTGAATTCAAAGCCTCCTAAATCAGTTTTTCCCCATGTTTAAACACACTTTAGTACCACAGAGTGGCTGTATCTTGTGTATGTTTCAATCTTCCTTTCCTTATCAGGTAAGTTTTTAGCAGCCCCGTGGTCCCTCCTGGGTTTTTGGCAGCGTCGCTGCGGAGCGTGGCGTGTGTCAGGGGATGTGTGGCTGCTTTCGTGGAGCTGTGTGCTGATTTCTGCAGTAATGGATGTGAGGCTTTTAACCTTGTGACTGTTACGAGATCTTTGTGTCTGCTTTAGGGTCGACCCTATCCCATATGACACTCCAAAACCAGCGGGCCACACGCGCTTTGTCTGCGTCTCAGACACGCACTCCAGAACAGATGGCATCCAGATGCCCTATGGGGACATCCTGCTCCACACGGGCGATTTCACCGAGCTGGGACTGCCCTCTGAGGTTAAGAAGTTTAATGACTGGTTAGGTAAGGAATTACTGCGTTTTGCTGACCCCAATTAACCTCTCTTGTCCGAGTGTCACTCACCGCCTGCTAATTGAATTAGGGCGCTCGAGAAATCTCCCCCCACCCTTCCTCCACTTGTCCTCGTGTGATGTGCTGCTTCTAGCCTTGCTTGTTAATCATAAATAATAATAATTCTCTTAATTAAGACAAATTGAGAGACTATGCTGCATTTCTGCTTTGCCTTGGGGAAAAGATTCTGTCACTGCAGGACAAGCACTGCGTAGCCCCTGAGGAGGTGGTGGCACCTCATGCAGGGGATGCAGTGTCCCATAGGTTGATGCTGGGGGGGTTTGTGTCCTTGTGTCCACAGCCAAAACTGCTGCTCACTGTGGTTTGGCTCTGCTATAACCTACAGCGCAGCTGGGACATACAGCATTCTTGGAAATGATGGAAGTCCTCCTTCCCATGTGGCAGAATCAGTAATACTTTTGGAAGAATATTATTGTGTGTGTGTATATATATATATACATATATATACACATATATATATATTTGTCATACATATAAAATATAAAGAAATAAAAATAAAAAATATAGATTTAATATATATTTTTCATAGGTATAGATTTCATATCTATATCTATAATATTATAGGTATATAATTGTAGCTATATTTATAATATTAACATATAATAATACTCTGTTGTATATTGTATATATATAATTGTGATATAGTATTAAGATATTTTATATGAATTGTACGATATAATAGATATTGTATATTATATATAATAGATATTGTATATTATATATTACATATTATATATAATACATAATACATATTATACGTATGATACATATGATATATATAATATATGTTTGGAGATTTTGTTGGGGGTGATATTCACATGCTTGCCTCTTTGAGTTGGAGTACTGGTATTTCAACTTTGATCAAGGGCAGTCAGCATCTCTTTGGTAGCATACTGTCACTAGGGAGAGGAAAAAAAAAAGACCTCTATTCCCAGAGATAAAGATAATTTTAAAGCTAGCTAATGAAAACCTTTACCTTTAAACAACTCATCTTTAAAATTCTACCCCATAAGGCCCATAAACACAACTGTAAAAAAAGCTTATAAAAAATAGGAGAAATTTTGCAATTACAAATTTCCCCAAGCATATACTATTCATAAAAAGAAACAAAAAAAAACTTTTCTTATAGAGAAACCTCCATAACATTAACAAAAAAGACTTCTCTCCCTAAGTAAACTAAAGAAAGATTATTCTAAAAGTAGTAAACTCAAATTTTAGGTTTTGTTTCTTTACATTATCAGTAAGAAAGAAAAGGTTAGAGAAAGATGAGAAGTGTCGTAAAAGTTTTGTTCTAATTTTCATTACTTTTTCATTTAGTTACTATTAATCAATTTCTCTTTATGCTCTTTTAAAGTTTTAAGCCTACTTTACCTTTCCCCTAGTCCTACCTCACAATAAGAAATAAGGGAGTACATCCCAGTGAATGCTCTAGTGATTAGCCAGCACTTAACCCACCACACTCATTAGTGCATTAATCAAAAAAAATCTCAAATTAACAAACCAAACCCACTACAAATGCCTTTCATATTCTGCTGTATTTGACAGCAGTGCCCTGACAGCCTATTGCTGGAATTGAGGGCAATTAAACAGCAACAGCAGACAGCCAAAATCAGGGAGGGGAGCTTGTGTGGGAGGCTGCTGTTGTAAATGCCACTGGCAGGCTGGGTGTGCACTGCCAGGTCACCTCTTGCTCTAGAAGTACCCAGAGCTGAAGGTGACTTGAGCAGCTGATTTTCAGAAAACATCTGAATGAATTTACAGCATTATATAAAAAGTATTTTGAGGCACAGCTTTGTTGCCAGGTTTTACTGCACTCTCTCTTGCCTGCTGGGTGATGGCAGCATCTCTACATAATTTATCTTATGTATATCTTGCATATTTTATCATATGTAGCATCTCTACATCAATTTATTGCATTGGAGTTCCTTGGCTGAGCCTTCAAGAGATATGTAAGGAACATCTGGCTTTACAAAAGGGATTTTTAAATAGAAGGACTTCTGCATTGTCTGTCTGGTCATCCTTCTTTGCACTTTCTTTGTACTCTTCTTTCTACCTGACCTCCTCTGATTTCCACACTTCCGACTTGAATGAGTGTTTTTCCTTCTCTTTTATTGCTGTTCACACGGGAGTGGGGCTCTCTCATCATATCACTGCACCTTAGGTGTATTGTTCTTATTTCTAGGAAGTGATACTAGGTTTGGTAGGCTCAAAACTACCCTTTTTCTGTGCTTGTAAATGGAGCTCCCGAGGAGGAACTGCCTCTTGGAGAGCACAGATCTCCCTGAGTGCATTGCTGAGAGCAGTGTCTGGCCACCTGAGCTCCTCTTTGGCCCCTGGGTAATTTCACAAATTTCACAAATCCTTTTTAGGTACAGCCAGAGCCTGTGGCCAGTGCTTGGCATTTGAAAACACTCCGGGCTGCAAAAAGCCAGCCCAAATAATCTGCCAGGGTGCTTTCACCCTTCCACGGGGAATCCTGCAGTGTTGGCATTCCTTGGCATTCCTTGCACCTATCAGGTGCTTCATGATTATTTTAGCACACAGGTCCTTGGCTTAACATGCCCAACAGAAGAATTATAACCCTTCGGATAGGTTGTGTTCCAGCCTCAGTAATTTACCAGGGTCCTTTCTTAGCATATATGCATAGTTCTTGTAGATGACAGTATAGTGTTTATCTGAAAAAGCAGATTTTGCAGGCAATTTCACTGAAACTGGGAGCTCTGGCTGTGTGAGGGCCTGCTGGCTTTGGCCTCAGGCTTTCATATTTCAGATACAAACAAAATAGTTTTTTACATGCAGAGAGTTCACTTGCATTTTCTCATATATGCATATATGTATATATACACATCTATATATACACACATATATATATTGACATTTATGTGTGTATGTGTGTGTATATATATATATGTATATATATATATGACAATACCAGTTATTAGGTTCTTGGCACAGGGCAAGCCAGCAATTTGCTTCACCTGTGGGAATGTTGGTGAATACTTGCTTCAGTGCAAGTATTCCTCACCAGGAATCAAAGCACCAAAGTCAGGCATGTCCTTTTGCCTCTCTTTTCAGACTCCTTTCTGCAAAGTGTGTTAATTGTGTTTTACTATTTACTGTGGTATTATTTACTGTGTGTGCTGTGAAGATTTAATACTTTCAAGGATGTGAGGTGATGATGTGCAATAGTTAAAAAAAAATACATACCAGGAGCAAGCAGGATTCCTTTTGCTTCCTCAGTAGCATCTTTTTCCACCATAGTTGCTAGGAACCTTATTCCAAAGGTGCACACTGAGAATTAAATACATCAAATACCAGGTGGTCCTTACAGAAAGATGTTTTTCTGTCTTTCCTGGCTCTGGTTTTCTCCTCTGGCAGCTGTGTCGTGAAGCTGCAGTGAAAACAAGGCATCTGTATCATTCATGCCACGAGGGAGGGAAGCTGGATCAAAGCTGGGTTTCATTCTGCAGCTTATCTTACCCACACTGTGATAAAAACCAGGGTCCTACCTCCATTAGAATTATATCATGGCATAACTAAAACACAGTAACTGTCCATCATTCTTCCTGGCAGTAAAGCCAAGGGGAAAGTGGAAAGGTGATTATTCTGGGCTCCTGCCTTGCTTGTACTTCACTGGGTGTTACATATTTCAGTTTTACAGGGCTGAGAGCACTGCTTAGAGCCCTGCTGCTCTATATTTTTTGAGTCCTGCATCCCTTTGCAACAATTTGGGTCCCTTTCTTTAGGAAAAATATTCAGCATCTTGCCTTTCCATTTCATCAACACTCATCCTTCTCCCTTGTCTCCACAGCCAAGCCATGGAGCTTGTCTTCCACACTCCCTTTACCATCCTCCCAAGTTCTCAGCCCTTCCAGCAACTTTTGCTAGTTAAATGCTTTTTCCCTTCAGCTGTTACGTTTTCATTATTTCTTTTGCATGGAAGTCATCTGGGCTTATACATTGAATAACCTCTGTGGTCACTTAGTGATTACATATGCTGGCTGAGGTAATTTATTCACTTTGTTTTGGTGTGAACATGTCCCTCGGGTCTTGTAACTGCTGTAATCACTTGACCTTAGGGACTGTTAAATGCTTTAAACACAGTTATTTTAAATTTATAATTGTTTTCATTAAAAATCTCTTATACTAACTTAACTAATTTTGCAGTAAACACAGCATTATGTGCTGAGGAAGAACTGAGAGATGTTATTCTGTGCCAAATGTATTTTGTACGGAATGCTTCAACTTGCTATTATTATCTCTGTTCATATTTTTCCCATCCATTCTCATTCAGTCATATATGTGAAATGAAATAGAAGAATATCTAATTATAGCTCTGTCTTCATAGTGCAATATTTCCTTTTCTGGCTGATGGGAAGTGATTGAATAACCCATAAGAACTGAAGAGAAAGCAAAGATAAATTCAGCCAGAGAGATATTTAATGAGTTGATGTTTGTTTTGCTCAGTTACTATGGGCCTGATTGTGCATATCCTTGCTTGTGTGAATAATCTGAATTCAGTTTAGAAATTTCTCTCAAATAGCCCATTTTGCACTTTTTTTGTTTAGTGGTTATATCACACTGTGTTCATTTTTTGCTTTAGGTTTGTTTGGCTTTCCCCTTTGCAAGGTTTCTATTATAAAGAATATTACTGCAAAATCTTGCAGTGATAGACTTGGATAAATTCAGTAGCTGACCTTGCTGCTGGTTATTGTCTGTGGAGCTGAAAGTTGAATTTAGTTAGGTTTTTTCTGAGTTCATCTAGGATTTAGCAACTTGACTGTTTCATGCTTTTTTAAGTCTTGATTTTCTTTTGAATGTTTATTTCTTTTAATTTCTTTGGGTTAATGACTGTAAAAACTTCGTGAATGGTTTAGTGGCCAAATATATATGGATTTGTACTGGAGCAAATATTTCTTCACTTGTAATAT